TTTCAGGCTTGCTGATAATCAATGTGAGCACGGCTGAGGTTTTATTCTGATGAGCAAACCATGTGGCCAAAAACTTTAAGAGGCAGCCTGGGATCATACCATTATGTGAAAGAAGACGAAATGTCCCATAGACAGCAAGGGTAGTGGTATAGACCAGGTACACAGAGAAATGGGGAGCTGTATTGAAATGCAAGCGTGTCAGGAAAGAGTGAAAAGGCAAAATGAGCATCATCTGGCTGCATTTCAGTGATATTGGAGACCACAAAGCTGAGTGCAAAATTTATATAGGAGATATACAGGAGACGCTGAGAGCAAAACTTATAAAATTAGGAGCTGGCTAAGGTGAGACCCATTTTTATTTCCACCCATTTTCCATTGTGGAGGACAAAAGGTTTCAAACTCGTCCAGGTTTTAAACCTCACGTGCGTTCTTCCTAATAGCAGTAAATGGATAAAAATAAGGCTTTAATGAAAACACTGAATAAAAATTGCTGCCTTTAAAAAGACTAAATGTACAGTTCAGTATTGAATACTACATAAAATAAACTATATAAAGTGTATCTGAATGGCAGAGATGTAGAAATATGTGTATATAGCACAGAGCCACGGCTCAGTATCTGAATGAGTCTCACAGACCTGAATGTGCTGTTGAAGCCATTTATAATTATAACGTAATTCTTTACTTGTTTGATCTGCTCCTTACCACAAGCGACCAGACGTAGAAGGTTTTGGACTTTTAACTCTATTTTCTTAGGTTTTACAACTTTTCTTACTGTTACAAACCTTGTTATGGCCATTCATTCTATACAAAGTAATTAAACATGTGTGGTATCTACAGAAATGTCAGAATTTCAGGTAAAAGTTCACAAAACCATCTCAACAACCACCAAACAGCTGAAACAGCAGGTGAACAGATTACACAAAAAAGATGTAAACACAAATCCCCCTGATCATCTGTTTTTTTAAACATGAAATGTAGTTTTGGACGTTCATTTACTGCTGGTTCAGTGAATTTTGGTTGGACAGTGATGAAACCTGCAGTCTCAGAATTTGTGAGAAGTCTGCTTTCAGCACGCAACAGCATTGTTGTGTTGTGTGCTGTGGATTCACCTCTGCAAACTCATCACTGTTTTACCATCATGTTTCTACTTAGACAATAACAAAGGAAGCAGTTCCCAGGAACTACTTCATGTGTTTTTAACATAAGAGTATGTTGTCCTTCAAAACACCTCCCCTTCTCCTCTTATTAGAGGACTGCCTTATTACTAATCTGCTAATTCTGTTAGTTGATGAAAGAAAAATGCTTGATCTCACCTGAGAGTTTCCAGTCTACAGTGTGGACTCTTCAGTCCTTCAGACAGAAGCTTCACGCCTGAATCCTTCATGTTACTGTTACTCAGGTCCAGCTGTCTCAGAATAGAGGTCTGAGAGCTGATACCTGAGGCCAGAGCTTCACAGCTTCTCTCTGACAGGTGACAGTGACTCAGTCTGAAAAATAACAGATAAACAATTACAAAAATAAAACACTTATGTTGAAGTGTAATGAGTTACTATTATATTTAGCAATATTTAATCTTGTTTTTGTCAGGAAACTGAGCACTTATGCAGAACAACATTTGGAGAGAATCAGAGGAGAAGAAGTGAAGAGAGAACAGCAGTAAAACAACACTGAAGTTTCAGTGTTCAGTGTGCTTTTGATATCAATAAAATGTGTCAAACTTCTTTATTTTGTATTTGTTTTAGTAGAATTGATGATTATCAATTAGATAAGAACCACAGGCCAGGTCTAAATTGCACTTTGGTAACAGTTACACCCAGAAATAATTCAGAAATGTGGCCAATTTGTGCTCCAATGTATTCAGTATTGAACAAACTGAGTACCGAGGACCACTTAATAGTTTTGATACTTTATTTGAGTTGTTCCCACCTGATCTGTGTTAACTAGAATAGACATTTAAAAACTAAAGCTATGATCACATATTTACTTACAGAGCTTTGTTGGCGGGTTTGACCACTGGCAGCAGCCTCAGAAGAGCCTTTTTAAAGGCTTTAAATTTTTAAATTCTATAAAGTTTTGTTGTTTATACAATAATATCATTTAATGATATGTTTGGATCCTGACCTGAGAGTTTCCAGTGTACAATGTGGACTCCACAGTGCAGCGGACAGAAGCGTCACTCCTGAATCCCGCAGGTCATTGTTAATCAGGTCCAGCTCTTTCAGACTAGAGGACTGGGAGTTGAGAACTGAGGACAATGCATCACAGCCTCTCTCTGAGAGGTTACAGCCATTCAGTCTGGAAGAAAACAAACAAACAAATTAATTAAATCAGTCAAATGAAACATTTTTTTAATGCGAGCATGCAATACAATTATTGGTTAACTAAAAAGCTTCATTAAAACACAACTCTTCTTCTATATGAGCACTTACTCCTTGTAAGCTCCATCTGCTCCACCTTCTGAGTCAGAAGACATGAAAACAAACTTTAAATCTAGTAGAAACATGATTGGCAATCTTCTCAGATCCATTTGTACATTTAGAGCTTTATACTGAAATATAGCAGCACAGACATTCACAGCAGAAAAGGGTTCTTGCTGATCTGAGCTTGCTTGGCCCTGGCTTATTGAAGAAAGAAGAAAGCGGAATCAGCTGTTCAAAACCCCACAAGGCTGCCCGCTGTGACTGAAACAATGGGACGGGTCGTGACTTCTCAAAATGGGCTCATTGAACGCAGCACGGATAAGATCTTGAGAAGCTCATGGCGGTCGTGAGTTCTCTGCTTGTCATGTGTTTCTATGGCGTATTAAGAGTTTTCATGTGCTCTGCGCAAAGGTCACTTTTTTTCTGCTCTCAAACTGATCTCCCTGTTGGAGCTCAGTCTGGGGGGAGTTCTTTTTTCTCCTCATCTTTCCTGATGTTGTGCATTTTC